TAAAGGAAGGTGCTTCATTGCATCATTCGAAGGTTTTTGAACTTCCATGTGTACTCAAACAGTCAAATCCAATCACAACTCCTAAATGGGAGTTGCACTTCTTCCCTTATGTACGCACTTACAGTGATCCTAATGGGATGATGAGGTCCCAACCCCAAAAGGTCACTATTGCAATAAATTAAGCGGATGTGAAGAAGCTCCTAGGCTCTTAGCAGAGTATTGAAGGCATTATGTTCTTGGCTTCAAGAAATGACTCCTACGGAATCTAGTAGCCATGCTGACCATTAGCAACTACCTTCGGATAGGCTGCACAAGGAAAGTCAGGAAGGTACTCAGCAATGTCATGTTTCATGGAACAAAAAATTAGTGTAGTGAGGGATGGAACATTGTTAAATGCAGTATGCAAAGGTAACAGGTGGCAGGGAAAAAAAAGTACCCTCAGAAATTCAATTGCATATAATAGCAGAGAGGAAAAGACAGTTTACAAGATAGCTCAACAGTTATAATTGGTAAAATCAATATTTCACTACCAGGTAAAAGCTGAACAAATAGCTAATTCCTGCATAAAGCATCCAACAGGATTGGTATGTTGGGTAAAGCATGCCTCGGAAAAAAGGTCGAAACTGTCAAGCCAGGTCTTGAAAGCGGGTAGGCTATTCACAGTTTACCTTTCGGGGCAAACTTCTATTTGCAGTTCAACCACTCATGTGGACATAAAGATAAAACTAAGGACAACTCCACACCTATGATTTTTTGCTCATTAGTTCTGCCATTTGCCAGATTAGAATCAGGATCAGGTCATAAGAGAAAAATTAATTAACTCAGATGGAAAATCATTGCTTCCAAGTGAGTGAGCAGATCTCATCATTCATCATACGAACCTAATTTGTTGATCTAATTACTTTGCCAGTAACTCAAGTCTTAATCTATGCCAAAAATCAAGTGAACACTCAACGCTGAGGATAAGCATGACTTCAAAACCTCATAAACAAAAATCAATAGATCCAAAACTGACTTCTTCTACCAAATCTGTTCTGACTCTTCTCAAACAGAAATGAAAATGAGAGTTTCGCCAAAACTACCGTACCGTAACTCGTTTGATTGCAGAGAAAACCGAGGAAAATCCAATGAATATCATTTCACTGTTGATTAGATTTCCAAAATGAAGTGATAGATGAAAAATCACAAGCGCAGACAGCTTAGCGTTTCAGAGAAACTAGGAAATGAGATCGTGCAGTTTTCCGAGAGTATTTAAAACTTTCTCGGAGTTTCGAGGCAACCAAACGGCACTCTATAAACATAAAATAATGTAAAAATCAAAGACTAGGGGTGATTGTTGTACCTGGTTGCGGTAGGCGACAGCTCCTGGACTGCAGTTTCCCACAAGCGCAGACAGCTTAGCGTTTCAGAGCAACTAGGAAATGAGATCGTGCAGTTTTCCGAGAGTATTTAAAACTTTCTCGGAGTTTCTAGGCAACCAAACGGCACTCTATAAACATAAAATAATGTAAAAATCAGAGACTAGGGGTGATTGTTGTACCTGGTTGCGGTAGGCGACAGCTCCTGGACTGC